AGATCTGACGTTAATGATTTGCATAATGGTCAATTTGCCGCATATGCCTACACTGAAAGCAGCTGGTTTCAACTAATCTTTCGAAAAGTTGTGAAAAGATAATTCTCACAAGCCTTTCATACCAAGAAATAACATTTTGAAACGTCCTCAGCGACAGCAAATTTGAGTAAACGCTTTCTTTGTTTCAGTTGACAGTTGCTCAACACATACAATGGAAAACAAAATAATGATCACTAGAAGCTGCCAATTATGGGGAATGCTCGTGTTATCAACAACTCTCCTGAGTGAGTACGAAAGATGTTTTCAAAAGATTTATACTCTTCAGTATATATCATAAGTATACCCGGAAAATTCGATCCTATGGATTTCCGAATAGTATTTGCAAATAAAAAAATCAAAAATAGTTTTAAAAATCGGGCGAAACCACCTGAGAGCGCTATAACTTATAGTGGTGTTAAATTAGACAAGTTTGCCCTTCATTACAGCTGACAACATCGACTTACATTACGAGGCCAAGACAAATTATTTTAAAGGATATGCTTCAAGGAGCTAATTTGCCAATGTATTTTTAATATAAGCTCCAGCCTTTAAGTCTAATTTAACTCAGGAGTCTTTCATAAAAATATAAAGTTTTTGAACAAATACCCAAATGGTGATGGTAAAATTTAAGCCCGATTTTTCACTTCAAATGACATGCAAATTCTTGAAAAAATAAATAAATACTTAACGTTTGTGAACATATGAAAATCCAATATGTGAACTGCGGTGAAAAAAATTAGTACGAGAACGATCTTCGCAGTTATGAACACTACTTAAGCAGTAGGGCCTGAAAAAAATTCAGGCCTGCACGGGACTCGAACCCAAGACCTCTGCGATACCGGTGTAATGCTTTACCAACGAGGAGTCAGCATTTCAAAACCTCTCATAAATGAACGATTCTAGTAGCTTAACAACTACATCTGTAGTCTTCTTTTAAAATGGTTCGGCGTATGTTTTCCATTCCATTTACAATTTTTATATTGGTCTTAAGTATCTACATTGATTTATTTACTTATGAATTCAGTCCAATAAACAATAGCGGTCAATTCAAAGCCGTTTTTCAGAAATATCTTTGAGTGTGTTGAGTTAGAAAGATAGGAAGACTACGTTTTCATCCCCACAGGCCTGTTTCGTGATTGCTCACTCATCAGGGAATCTTTGATAAGAATAATTGAT